AATGGATAAAGATGAGTATTTGCATGCATTTCTAAGTTCCTCACAGCCTTTAATGTGTGATAACTGGCTGTGAACAGAGTGGACAGCCTCCTGGAAAAAAATACAGGAAATGTGCCAAGGGAAGAATTAACACCTGATCTTAGAGGGAGGTCTAAGGGAGTGGCCCTATAGGCATACGCCAATGGGATGCCACCAAACTCAAAGGAGTTCTGCTTGGTTTGTTGTGACTGAAGGACTGCGCTCAGCATCTCACAGGACTCGCACAGGAATCACTGTGAAAAGCATCCTGCACTTGGCAAGGCTACAAGGGTTCGCAAGTTGCGACCGGTGTTGCAATTTTTCAGCTTAACGGCAGCCTTGGTTCTTACTGACACCCTGACATGCTTTGGATAATCTTAAATGGCAAGACACAAATGGTGGCATGACCATATTGGAAATCATGTTAGGTACCACAATCCAGGAAAAGGGACAATTTGAAGAGAAAAGCCAGAAGAGCCCTGTAGATGGGTGCAGAGCCAAAGTTTTCAGATAAAATGTAAAGACAAGTTCAAAATAGCGATGTTTGGGGTCACAAATGACTCATGAAGAGGGTGCATTTGTTCACAATGTGCATTCAAATAATTTCCATCACACTGACAAGATATACCTTAAGCCTTTTATTTAATGCATTTTATTTGTTAAAATATTTAAACCCTCTTTTCCCTTGTGGCTCAAGGCAGCTTGCAATTCTAAATTAAAACCATCCATAATACAACAGAACCCCATCAGCCCCCACCACCCCAAAGAAAATGTCTGTAGGTCAAACCTTGTTAAAAGCCCTAGCAAGTAAAATAGCCTTACAGCACCTCCTTTAAGGACAGCACCACCCTCACCTCCTCAGAGAGCCTGTTTGACAAGGTGGGAGCCAATACTGAAAACTAACAGGCTCTGGTGGGTGCTGGACAGGCAACTTGGATCGGCAGGACAGGCAGATGGTGCCAGAAGACCATAACTGGTGCGTGAGGAGTTATGTGGAGAAACCGACCTTCAGAGATGCGGGTCATAGGCCACGAAGAGTTTTAAAGGTAATAATTAGCACCTTGAATTGAACAGGAAAAGAAACTGGCAGCCAATTTTGCTATTTTAAAATAGGTCGTATGTGTTCCTGTCAGCTAGCCCTTGACAATACTTAAGCTGTTGCTGTCTGAACCAGCTGGAGTCTCTGAATGGACTTCAAGGGCAGCCCCACAAAGGCTGTGATACAGTAGTGCAGCCATGAGGTTAAAAACCCATGGATTAGCATGCCCAGGTCAGCTTAGTCTAACAAATTAGAGAACTGGTGAGCCAGATGCACCTCAAAGAAAGCACTCTTGGCCACAGTGCTAACTGCTTTCAAACAGCAAGGCTTGATCCATGAGCAGATGTTACCCTGCTCTGCAAATGCCAACTCCACTGTATCCAAGTCAAATAGATATAATCTCTCCAAAGCATTGGCCTTCCTGACCAGCATCTTGTTTTGTATGGATTCATCTGCACTGACCACAGCCTTAAAGCACTGATTCAGAGCTGTCACAGATGCATCGGAAGGCTTAGACAATGAAATATAAAGCTGGGGGTCATCCACATAGTGATAACATCCATCCCCAAATCTTTGATCAGTCTCATTCAGTAGCCTTATAGAAATGCTGAAGAGTCATTTTTGACAAGAAGGAACTCTGAAGCACTCAAGATTGCCCCATGTCTAGCTTTGGATGAAGATCACCCAGTATTGCAACCCAAGCCAGTCTGAAACTAGATCAAAATGGTTCAAGGGCAGATGTGCTACCCAGGGACTTCAGTGGGGGATAATGCCATAGAGTCCACTCTTCAAAGTGGCCATTTTCTCCAGGTGAAATGATCTCTGTCATCTGGAGATCAGTCGTAATCCCAGGAGACCTCCAGACACTACTTGGCGGTTTGAAAACCCTATTATCAGCTAGGATACTGTAGCTCGGACACCGTGTACCTCTACATACCAGCAGAATTATTTAGTTCAAGGGGAAAATCACAAGTCAAGACCATTTCCATAAGCAGGAGCTGCTCATTCAGGCAGCTAAATTGTAGTAATATAAATCACTTGTACGTTTACAATGTTTACAATAGGTATTTGGGATTTCTGGCACAGGAGGTCTGCATTTAGTCAAGCTAAGCAAGGTTTGGGTTCAAAACAAAATCTTCCCCCTTTCCCTTCACAAGCTCTTCAGAGCCTTCGCAGATGCTAAAATCTGCTCTTTGCAGAGAAAGCTTGTCTCTCCACAAACGAGATGTGCTAAACTGTGGCCTATTTAAAACTTGTTACTTTCACATTTCCCCACAGATTTCTTCAGAAAAAAACACTGCACCTATGCAATTTAGAGGGTAAATGCGGGAAACAGTTCAGGGGCTGGACTTTCCAACTTTCCTTCTCCCCATCTGTCATTCTGAACTCTTGAGTAATCAGTGCACAATTTCATAATTATCAAAAAATAACTTAAGTCACTGTCAATCCACTCAGTAAAAGAAACCAAGAATGTTCAAGCTTGTCAGATGCTTAGCTCGACTGCAGTGCTTAGAGACTTGCGTGGCCTCTAAATGCGGGAAGCTGATGGGGGGTGGGGTGGAATTGGCCTTTTAGGTTTTGGGTATTGGTGCAAAGCCTAGTTCCGTGGTGTCAGCTAACTGAAAATATGTGGAGCAGTTTCTTTCTCACTCCTCATGTCTTTAAATATATATATATTTATTTTTGGCATGAGAGCTTTAAAGCCTCCCCTGGTTTTTTTGCACACATAATTTTAGACGTCTCTGTAGGGCTGCCACCTGGCCTGCATTTCAGTTCCTTGTTCCCCACCACACCAACAGGGCCGATTTATTCATTTTAATGGCATTTTCACTAGGGCTGTTTAAAAACAAAACAGAAGAAAGAAAAGTAGTCTTGGCATCTATGATCTGCGGATTTAAGAATGGATGTAGTCATGTCTATATTCAGACACCTTTTGGCTGCATTCTCTGCCATAAACGATGCTCGAGACAGCATCTAGAAATGTTATGCAAATGTCCAGTAGAGATTTCCAACACAATAGCAATAATCCCCATAATAATAAGCTGTTCTACCTATTATGGCCTAGGCAGCAATCACTGGCCACAGGGTTGCTCCTGTCAGTGGGATCCCTGTGGCAAATATAATATTCGCCTTGCCCCTTATATTTTTGTTTACAGTGCAGTCCTCAAGAGAGTTAAAATATTCTAAGTCCATTGAGTTCACTAAGTCCATTAAGTTCACTGGTGTAACTCTGTTTAGGACTGCGCTGTTGGTCAATGCCTCTTTCAAGAGGGAACCCCCACCCCCTACATAGGGTTACGAACTCAGGCTTGGGAAATTCCTAGAGATTTGGGGAAGGTGCATGCAAAGGGCAGAGTGTGGGGAAGGGAGGGAGCCTGCTTAGCAGGGATATGATGCCATGGAGTTTACTCTCCAAAGCTGCCATTTCCGCCAGGGGAAATGTCTCCATCTTCTGGAGATCAGTTGTAATTCCAGGAGATCTCCAGGACCCATCTGCAAGTTGGCAACTCTATCCCTCCATGATATATATTGGGATCTGTTACGATCCCTCAGTTAGGTAGCTGTCTGTAACAGAAGGCAGGAGCTCCTGAATACAGGAAGTGAATGCTGGGTTTACTTTGCAGGCCCTTTAAGGGAATTTGTAAGCCAATTTGTATATTTTGAATGGAAAAGTGGGTTACAAATCTCCAGAATTATATATCTCCAGGTCTCAACCCATATGCTCTGACCTGAATGGCCCAGGCTAGACCGATCTCATCAGCTCTCAGAAACTAAGCAGGGTTGGCCCTATTTGGATGGGAGACTACCAAGGAATACCAGGGTTGCTGTGCTGAGGAAGGCAATGACAAACAACCTCTTGCCTTGAAAACCCCACAGGGTATGTGTGTGTATATATGGGTTGAGACCTGTAGAAAGCTTAGCTATGTGCTGCTACCCCACGGTATTTCCCTTCAGGCTCAAAATCCAAGACATGGGAAAGCTAGGATTTGCTATGCCTGTTTGTGCAGATTCGGACTCGAGCAGGTAGCCTAGGAAATGAGCACCATTCCCTTCTTCCCTGCCAATTAATTCTTCCTTCCCAGCAGGGAAAAGAGGAATGGAGACACCCTGCCATCAAAGCCATGGCTCCAGTCAGAGTCACTCAGAGCCTCACCTGTGCTGCCCTACAGCTAAGCTATTCTACTCCGTTGTTCTCCTTTAGCAGAGAGATGGGAGTAGCATGTAACTGGGAGGCTTCAGAAATACCCCGAGTCCTCACAGGATCCACCATCTTCTACCTCTTCATCATTACCTCCCCCCGAACGACTCCTTATAGTGGCACCCCACAGAAATAACTCGGGCAACATGGTCCAGTGGGTTTTGAGGTTGAAACCCAAATATCAAAGTGTTCTTTTTGACTAATCTGTGTAGATGCCATAAATCTGTACAGTTTGTATCATTCAGTTTTAATAGGAACGCTGCAATTTAAACAACCACACGAAAAGGGTTTATACATGTGCTACATACCTGCAACAATTACAAAGAGGAAGAAAGCTGTTATTGTACCTGTCGATACGTATACAGGCGTGTAGTTTATATTGTCTTAGAAGGACTGTAATGAACATGAATTCAGGCAATGAAATAGGCATTGTAATAAGCAGTGACACAAGGGCTAAGCAGTGTCTGAGGATTATGTTTCCCTTCTACCCAATTTAATACTGCTGTAGAGAATGAGGAGTTTGCTATCCTCAGCCAGGATGGGGAAAAGGTGATCCCAGGAAAAACAAACAAACAAACAAACAACTATACCGCTTTTACATAAGAGTCCTTTAACAGTTCATTGGCCAGAAGGCTGGGTTAACCGGCTAATTGTTACACACCACAGCAACATCAGAAAGAGAGCCCGTGCCCCCCACTAAGTGTGCTGAGCCAATGTTTCCCCAATTATTTCTAAATGACTCACCTCATTGTCGTGTGGTGGCAGCTGGTGTAGAAGCTGTTTTATGCGGGCTTTCTCCCCGGGGCTGTTCACGTAGGGTACTTTGTCCTCTGGTAGGCAGCTGTAGTACTGATGAACCTAAATGTTAAAAAAGTGGGACTGCAGTACTTGGTTTTTGCTTCAGACATAGTTGCTTTGCGTGACAAACCAAAACAAAAGAGATCGACCACCTTGAGCAGGGCACTCAGGAGTCCTGAGATGCACAGTTACAACAATGAACTTCCCGTAGGACACAGGCAAATGTTCTACCTTGACAGAAAAAAAGAGAGAGAGAGAAAAGAGCAGGCTGTTTTCAGTGGAAATCGAACCCGCCAAGGTTGTTATTTTACCGTTTTCTCTGTTAGTCTCCAGAATGTGAGCATTTTCTCTTGGCCTAGGTGGATCTGTCAGCACCTGCCTTTGTAAGCATAGGTTAAGACGCCACCACCTGGCATCCAATCTACGACTGGGGAACTGAGCCTCCACCTACACGCCAGCCCCGGAGGCCTTCTCTGTAACAATTTGTGAAAATAATCAGCAGATAAAATCTGTCAGAAGGCTGGGTTCTCTCTTCAAGTCTCAGAGTATGTAATTAAAAACAAACATGAAAAGTGAAACACACGGTGCAGTGCAACAAGGCCGGGTCCCAAGAGATCCCATTTGTAATGCATTTGTTTGTGATATACACACATGTCTCCAACTCGGCTTTATCACATTGCAGAAGCTACCAGCCCTAACTAAGCAGCCTAGCTCTGCCCTGAACTCAGCTGTCTCAGGAAAAAGGAGCAAGGACCTAAAGTGATATCAGTAAGAAGGAGACGCTCCAGTAAGTTAAGCGTATGAATGCCCCGTCGCCTTTGAATTTAGGCTCTTAGATCTAAAATCTCTATATCACACACAGGTGAACATGTGAACGGATGAAAATGTGAACATCTAGCACAAGTACTGTCTACTCTCAACTTGCAATGGCTCTCCAAGGACTTAGGCAAAGAAAGACCTTTCTCAACATCTGCTGCCTGAAAAATATTAGTTGGCAGGGACTAAACCTGGGAACTTCTACATGCAAAATATGTATTCTTCCGCTGAACGGCAGCCCTTCCAGTTGCTTAATTCACAGTCAATGGCAGAACCTCCAACTCAGCAGTCTGGATGCACACTACAGAAAGTTCCAGTGACATGGGGCTGTGTCTTCAGAAACTGAACAACCGGTTGCTACAACATGCAGAGTGAGAATGGGAAACCATCTTGGAGGTGCTGGATTGGATCCAGACTAAATTGTCTATTTCTACTGATTTCACCTTTCTGCTGCAGATCCCCCTCCATGTCATCCCTCAGGGTCTCCTATTCCTAGGGTTGCCAATCCCCCAGCAGGAACAAGACACCCCCACCTCACTAAAAAGGGCTTTCCAGCTGATGGCTGACATTACTTCTGGGGAAAACCAAGAAACGATATAATAAAATCAGAGTTTTTGTCAATTCCTAGAGATGACTGATATCAATTTCGGGGGGAAATCTATGGTTTTACCAGTGAGTTTCTCATTGGTATGACGGAATGAGCTCCTGTCTCTGGTTCCAGCTCCTGCCAACCTAGCAGTTCGAAAGCAAGAAATTGCAAGTAGATAAATAGGGATCACTTCAGTGGGAAGGTAACAGCGTTCCGTGCACCTCGGCGTTTAGTTATGCTGGCCACATGACTACGGAAATGTCTTTGGACAGCGCTGGCTCTTCAGCTTGGAAACGGAGATACTGGCCACCAAGATGGTGCTGAAAATAGTCTTGTCATAACGAGCAATTCCTGCCTTGGCTTTAATGTCTGGAAGTGCTGACTAAGGAGATAGTCATCATCACATTGCCTGCATCATAAAGCATCATAATAAATGGCTTGGTGCATGGTTTTCCAGAAAATACTTCCTCCCATAGGAACATCCCCTACATGCTACGATCATCAGACAGATCCCCAATCCAAGCAGCCCATTCTTTGCGTGACGCTAGGATAAAAGGCACAAAAGATAGGGCTTTCTCTGTTGTGACACCTTTGCTCTGGAACCCCTTTCCCTGTCTGTTCCCTATATATCCTGTCCTGCCTCCCACTTACGGTTACCAACCTCCAGGTGGTAGCTGGAGATCTCCCACTATTACAACTGATCTCCAAGTGACAGGGATCAGTTCACATGGAGAAAATGACTGCTTTAGAAAGTGGACTCTATGGCACTATACCCCATTGAAGTCTATCCCCTCCTCAAACCCCACCCTCCGCCCCCAAAATCTCTAGGTATTTCCCAACCCAGAGCTGGCACACCCCCTATTCCCAATGAACCCAGGGTGTCAAACATGAGTCTACCCTCCTCCATTTTATCCTCACAACCACCCTGTTTGCAAAGGAAAAGAGAGAGTGACTGGGCCAAGGTTACCGAGAAAACTGAGAGGGGGTTCAATCCCAAGTCTCCTCTGCTGTTACAGTCTGACACGCCAACCATTACATCACACTGGCTCCCAAGAAGCTTCCCAGAGATGTTCAGCAGGCCTGTTTCGATGTGTTTCTTAGTTGGTCAGTTAAGACCACATTAGTCCAATAAGAATTTTGGGAAATGTGGATTTCATCCAGAATTTAAATGACATCTTATTAGAATCTGCTGCTATTATGGATTTGTAATCGTTTTTAGGGTGCCTTTATTTTATTTTTTTTAAAAACCCAGATTTTATTGCACTGTATGAATTGGATTTTATTGTCTGCAATTGTCGTTTGTTGCCTGAGATTTTCTGAAACAGATGGCAGGGCACATAAGTTGAGAAAACAAATAATAAAAATACATTTGGCAGAGAGGAGGAGCTGTCAGTGAGATAACAACCACCCCCACGGTAAACACTTCTATATATTGTAGCTAATAATGGGGGTACGATGCACACCAGCTCTTCATTCTTAGGATTTAAAGTGGGAGCGGTGGAGGGAAACAGAGCAATGCATTAGGCTTCTCTCAACAACCATTCCAACAGAAAGGAGATAAGCTACAGACTACAGACCTAATTGATATACTCATCATGCATCTGGCGAAGTGAGCTCTGACTCTAGAAAGCTGAGTGCCCTTGACTTGCAATTGATTCACGGCAACCCAAGCAATGGGCTTTCAAAGCAAGTGAGGGACAGAGGTCGTTTGCTGTTGCCTTCCTCTGCACAGTCTTGTTTGGTGGTCTCCCATCCAAGTATGGACTCTGTTTAGCTCCCAAGATCTGACAAGACTGGACTAAACCATACTGCCTTCCCTCCCAACAAATGATGTGTGTGTGTGCACGTGTGTGCGCGTAAAGCTGCACTCACAGTTGACTGATGTTGACCCCAGGAAGGGGCTTTCAAGGCAAGTGAGAGGCAGAGGTGGTTTACCATTGCCATTTCTGCAGAGTCTTCCTAGGTGATCTCCCATCCAAGTACTGATCCTGCATGACTGGACTCCTGTTTTATTTTGCTGCCACATAGTTACCCATCTGGAATTAATGCATTACCAGGTGGCTATACTTGATCTATGCACACCTTAAACAGCTTCAATGTATTTTCATGACATTGGGCTTACCGTGAATGTCCCCCCCTCCCAACAAATGCACAATTAATACTTTTCATAGAGAGATCACAGAAAGAGGAATTTCAAATGTCGTACAAAAAAAATCTAAATAAATGCAAGGAAGTTTGTGCAGCCCTCCACAATATCTCCCAACATCATGACGTTATTTCTCCAGTATTAGTAACCAATCATTCAAGCAAGGAAATGTTAAACAAAACAACAAGCGTTACCTTTAAAAATGACTTTACAAATAAAGATCTCCATGCCACTTACTTTGCATTTATAGCGCATCCTTCACTTGATCCTTGAACAAGCAGTTCATTAAGCAAAACACAACAGATAGACACAATTTAAGGAGAACTAAGTCAAGCTGAATTTTTCCTGATGTAGTTGGGTGACTGAAGACACAAGCCAAGTCCTAGGCAAACTCCATTCTCCACTGAAATCATGTTGTTTCTGAATGGCTAGATTTCCAATTAGACTCCTTTTTCAATATCGCCAACTACCCTCTTGCTTTTTCAACCCAGCTCTCAGATTTTCTGCTACTGAGCATCTGTGCCCAATATGCCCTTGAAACTACGTGAATCCAGAAGTAATTTATTCTTGACTGGCTGCCAAATTATGTCACGCTGGTCCCTAAGGTAATTTGTGGTAAAGACGCAGAGCATATACATGAAGAGATAACAAGTATAAATGGCAATCAGGTTATCACGTGTGCATATATTTGTCTCCTGGCCATCATATAGAAAGAAAAAAATCTACACACAATGCCCTTAAACATTTCCTCTGGGAAGTTTTCCATTTAATGATAGAAGCTATCTCACATCAAATCCAGAAAATAGTGCTACAGAAATGGGCAAATAGGTGTTGAAATGTACACCCAACCAAAAACAAAGAACACGGGTCCTGACCTGCCCTCTGTCACCTGAAATGAACTACACATGTTCAGAGAGATGTGGATCCGTTCCGACAGACACTCCACATACTGATAACACACCAACAAAGCTTCTTCTCCTCTCATCGGCCCATCAGCCCTAGCTTATATCACCTCCTTGCTAGGGAGGTGAAATGCTGATATATTCATCAGGTAATCTGTTCTTGTGCTTTGGTTGTATCAGTCTTCAAAATCAAATAATTCACACTGCCGCCACCACTCTTTGTTGACTACGATTGTCCCACCAAGAGAAAATCCAACAGCACATATAGCTTTATGATATGGAAATGCTCCTGCTCTTCATTCCCACACTGAAAATCCTCACCCAGAAAGAATCAGTACCTATTACCAGGGTGCACAAACTGCCAATAAATGCTCGCAGAACCTTGATGGTCCATGTTGCTGTCAAAGGTAGTGAGTCTACTTAAGCTACCCATGTGGTATTATTTTAGACATGTTTATTCAAACTGCTAATCCAAACCAATTGGAAGACTCACTGAGTAACAATGGAGATTTAAAAAGCCAGTAAAATGAGTAAAAAAATAACCAGTAAAGATAAATAAAACCTAAGCCTGTAATCCTCATCCTGTGAAATGTACCATTCTGACTGA